AATTGCACTTTAAGGATGCTGCTGATTTGATTTGCTTGCAGGGGAAAACTGATCCAACTGCTCCATTGCATAAGCAGCAGTCTATGATTTTAGTAGATATTAACACCCCAGGTATAACGATAAAGCGGCCACTGGCAGTGTTTGGTTTTGATGATGCACCACATGGGCATGCAGAAATATTGTTTGAGAATGTACGTGTCTCAGACAAGAACATTCTCCTTGGAGAGGGGCGTGGGTTTGAGATTGCACAGGTAAAGACAACGACACTCTTTACTCTAGCAATTCAGAGATCCTTTTCTACTAAAATTTCTGTCCTTAGCTTCTAAAAGTGTTATATTGTACCCCATAATGGATGGCTCATCCTTTTCTGCCTTATTTGTTCATGTGTTGTATAATTTCCCAAGAAACCCACACCTAGGAATCTAGGATGAAAGGGCTGATTATTCAAATAATCCCAAACATGAATAACACCTTTCCAGTTTGTACCAATTTTTAGTATGATACCAGACAATTCTTTGATGATATTTGATATTTTTAAAAATTAAGTCTCAAATAGAGCTTTGAGTTCAAAAGTTCACGCAATCTATTTGAAGCAATATCTTAGAGGTTTAAAACGAGGTGGTGATCTTCTTAGGAAAAAAATATGAAATCACTTAGCTTACCATTGAGAAAAAGGATTAGAAGCAGTGGCGGACCCAGAAATTGCAAGGAGTGGAGTCACATTTCAATTCAATAATTTTAACTCATTTATAATTTTAAAACTAAAAGTAATATATTCTTAAATTTTAAAAAAAAATTAAAAATGAGATTCAAACTCTTAAGCCGAAGCTACAGCGCGCTATTACAAACTCCCTTCCCAAAAAAATTTCTTCCTGCTATGACTTTTCTTAGTCAAAGTTTTTAAATTTTAACCATTAATTATAAAAATAGAATTAAATTTTTATAAACTTAGTATTAATAGACCTATTTTGAAATATAATTTTGAAATATTATATTTTTAGATATTAATGGTCAAGGTTTGTATTGAAAATTGCAAAAAATCAAATATAAAAAAAAGTTTACATGCTACTTTAAGAAAAAAAACTTAGAAAAAGACTTCAAATATCAAAAGGGTGGAGCAAAAAGAAATGCCTAATCCAGCACTAAGTTTCGAACTCAGGTTGCCTAAACAGAAACGAAGCTCCCAACCATCTGTGCTACCATTACCTATAGTTGTAATATACTATAACTACTGCTCTATTTATACTCAGTTTAGTGGAGTCAATTGACTTCACTTGACACTGAGTAGGTCCGCCACTTATTCGAAGCAATATGCGAAGATTGTTACAACTACTACTACAACAAACTCAGAAAAGTTTCACGAATGAGATTTGGGGGTGGGATGGGTCATGGGCGTTAGTGTATCTTACTCGCACCTTGAATCACTAGTGTTCTAACTAGCCAGCAACTTAAATACTCAGTCTCCAAACTTCTCTATCGTACCATGATTTCAAAATAAATGAAATGACGGGGGTTGGTTCTTTGTTCTTGGTATGGTTTTGAACGGATCATCAATACGGGACATGATGGGAAACATGAGAGCCATGTTCTATCCTACTTGCTACAAATTGAAATCTTCTTTGAGTTCTATCCACTTTCATAACCCATTTGTGTGTTAGCAATTATTTAATTAATAACCATCCACCTATACACAAATGGGATAGAAGAAAGTGAGATAGAATATTTGAGCTCACTAGCTACACCTATATCTGTTTTTTTTCCTTTCAATTCTGTGTTGATACATATAGAAAAGAATTTAAATAATTGCCAATACCAGATTTCTTGAATGCTGGAATGCTGTATTGTTTCCATTTTCTAACAGGGGAGGCTGGGTCCGGGAAGACTGCATCATTGCATGAGGTTAATAGGTGCAGCTGAACGTGGCATGCAAATGATGGTTCAGAGGGCTACTGAAAGAATAACTTTTGGAAAATTTATCATGGAACATGGTTCATTCCGGTCTGATGTTGCTAGAGTATGTTATACATATTGTTCAATGGAAATGTCAAACCGCTTTTATTTNAATTGCCAATACCAGATTTCTTGAATGCTGGAATGCTGTATTGTTTCCATTTTCTAACAGGGGAGGCTGGGTCCGGGAAGACTGCATCATTGCATGAGGTTAATAGGTGCAGCTGAACGTGGCATGCAAATGATGGTTCAGAGGGCTACTGAAAGAATAACTTTTGGAAAATTTATCATGGAACATGGTTCATTCCGGTCTGATGTTGCTAGAGTATGTTATACATATTGTTCAATGGAAATGTCAAACCGCTTTTATTTAATAATAATAATAAAAACAGACCCACATTACGTCATCTGAAGATTACATCAAGGGATTTTTGTGCTTTACCTCTATATAATTCCCCTGGAGAGAAGGTAAGACTAGGGGAAGAAAATGAAAGGATACACCTGCAAGGATTTTCTGGGAAATTTGAATTTAAAATTCTATGGTAATAATGTGATAGACATTCTTTAATTGATGCGGTAAAGTACCCATTCGATATAAATGTTGCTATTAAGTTGAGAGGGTAATTTGGTAATAAAAATATTTTTAACTTCCCAAGGGTGGAATATGGTTCCTTCCACCATTAAGATGGAGAATGTGTCACTTTGACTGTAAACCTTCTCGGTCAAAGTGGATAACAAGTTGTGGATAATCCAAATATACCATATGCCGCGCATGCTATGTTTTTATATTTTAAAATATGCATTACGAGTTCAATTGAATCAGTATTCTTTATAGTAAATAATCCTTGTCACTTTTTAAAAATAAATCAGTATTACAATAATGGTTATTGTTGTTTTACAGTAATAGTACAGTCTGTGGTCATATACTCCATCCACATATATTATTGTTGGTGTTTTGGTAGTGGTAATAGAAATTATCATTATTATTGCTGTTATTTATTTTTTTGTTTTATTATAATTATTAAAAAATGATAATATGGTTGTTATAGGTTGTGCTAAGTAGCCATCTACAAGAAATTTAACTAAAGAACAATCCTGTTTTTGATGGGTATAGTGCCGAATAGAGCTGGAGAAAACCAGATTGCTAGTTCTGGAAGCTGCTGACAAGCTTGATAGGCTAGGTAACAAGGAGGCTCGTTGCACCATAGCAATGGCAAAGGTGAAATGATATTTGAATTGCATCTCCTTTTTTGGGGTACACGCGTTGCTGAGCTGTGTGCAGTGCAGTAATTGTGTGTTGGTGAGTGCAGGTAGCCGCTCCAGAAATGGCACTGAAGGTACTTGACATGGCGATTCAAGTGCACGGAGCTGCTGGGTTATCAGGGGACACCGTTCTCGCACATCTCTGGGCCTCGGCAAGGACGCTCAGGATAGCCGATGGTCCAGACGAAGTCCACCTAGGGACCATTGCAAAGTTAGAGCTACGAAGACCCAAACTCTGATACACATCCTCCTCAATCTCACGGTCGAAGACAGATGCATTATTACTGAAGTAAAAATATTTTCATTACTGAAGAACATCAAAGTTTAAAGCATGTTTATACTCCTTGAAATAAATGTACAAACATTAATGCTTTTCGAAGATATATGCTTCGTGGCATTAATTACACCTTCAAAAATAAATGTACTCCTTGAAAATGTGAGGAGTTATTTGTCTTTTTTCACCCGCTTACTATTTTTGTCTCAATCTAAAGAACTAATTGAGCATTTCTCAACAACAAAAAAGTACGGAGTAAATTTTATTCGATTTACTTTCCAGAGTTACCCGAATAAATTATCAATAAAATGTACTACTACTCTCATTCTACGTTCTAGAATATAGTAATTTTATCATACAATCTCAATAACTTTGAAATGAATTACGGAGTATTTATAAATAGAGATTTTGTATGATTCGGTCAATAACTCATTAACTTGTCATGGATGTACAATATTCTTTCGTGTAACTATGCTTATAAGTCACGGAGTTTAATGATTTCTTGTACTCTTTTTGTCTCTAAGGCTCCGCTTGAAACAATGAATTTTGTTGTTTGGTACTCCTTCCGTCCTAAATTATAATGTTTGTTCACTATTCACATGGTTAAATTTCATTCACTTTTTTTCTATTTTCGTTAGCAATTTGATAAAATATAAAGTAATATTGTCACTATTAGTTTTGTAGATCTTTTGATGTAGTATTTTAATATGTAATTTTTATTTTTTAATTCTATACCACTTGTCATATAAAATGATTTGAAAATAATTTCAATCAAACATCGTAAACCGAAACAGACACGATAAATTGGAACGGAGGGAGTAGTAAAAAATATGTCGATTTAGAACTGGTTGTGCCAAAAATGAATTGGAATTAGACAATTCTATTATATGGTACACACTTGTGTACACAACTACATACATACTCCATACTATATTATACGGAGTATTACTCTCTCCATCTCAATGTATTTATCCGCTCAATTTCTGATATGGACAAAGAAGTTGAAAATAAAAGCAAAAAGATGAGCAATATGCTCTGACATTAAATACTTCGGTCTCATAAAAAAAATTCTTTCATCTCAAAAAAAAAATTACTTTTCACCTTTTAAAAGTTTTGCATGGCCTATATAAATTTTATACTCTACCTACACCACTTTCAATTATATAACTATGCTTTTTTAATCTCCGTGCTGAGTCAAACGTGGTACCTTATTACAGGATCATGAGAGTAGTTTTTTGATGTGGAAAAGAGTAAATGTGACAATGGTCACTTTACTTTTTTAATTTCCGTGTTGAGTGAAACGTGGTGCGCCTTATTAGAGTACCATGGGGTAGTTTTTAAATGTGGAAAAGAGTAGATGTGACAATTATCACACATGTGGACAAAATGATTTGCATCCATATAGATCCAATGAAGTACGTGAAGAAAAGGCCATGCATGCATGCAATAGCTTCCACAATATGTGTACGTATTTGATCCCTACCAAACGTGTATCGTTGTTAACAAGTGATGAAGAGCAGATTGAGGCTCATTGTCTCAACTGTCAAATCTCAGCCTCAAAAATATTATATTCCTCTAAATAAATTGACCGACCACCGATAAGCTAGCTAGCCATCTAAAAACATTCTCCATCCGCTTATCTTCTTTGCTCAATATATATATAAATGGAATCCCCTCCTTCCCTTTAATCATAAGCTCTGATAGCCTGCGGGCCTGCCTGTTAAAGAAAAATAAAAAAAACATTAGTAATTTAATCAATAAAAGAAGCAATAATCTCTTTAATTTTTTTAGTACATTAATTCATTAGTTGTAGCTAGTTTTGTGTTTTTTTTAAAAAAAAAAGTTCATATAGATGGCTGACGCTGGAAAGAAAAAAAATGTGGCCATTGCTAGCGTGGCCGCTGTGCTTTTGGTGGCGTGTGTCGTGGCTGCAACGCTGTCGGTGACAAATAAGAAGGGGGCCGGGGGCGCGCATGTGTCAACATCAACCAAGGCTGTCCACGCCATTTGTGCCACCACCGACTACAAGGAAACGTGCGAGACGAGCTTGACAGAGGCCAAGAACACAAGCAACCCCAAAGAGCTTATAGAGGTGGCATTCAACGCGGCCATGAAGAACCTCAGCGACGCTATCTCACACTCGGCTCTTCTCAAGGAGGCCGCCAAGGACCCGCGCACCTCTGGGGCCCTTGATACTTGCAAAGAGCTCCTGGACGACTCGGTGGACGATCTCAAGAGGTCTTTCGACAAGGTCGAGGGTTTCGACATGGACAAGATCGAGGAGTACGCGGACGACCTCAAGGTCTGGCTCAGTGGCGCTATCAGTCACCAGCAGGCGTGCTTGGATGCGTTCGAGAACACGACTGGCGATGCGGGTGAGAAAATGAAGAAATTCCTCAAATTCGCTGGGGAGCTCACCAGCAACGGCCTCGCAATGGTCACCCAGTTCAGTGACGTCCTGCAGACCCTCGAGATCCCCGGAATGAAAAGGCGGCTGTTGGCTCATGATGAGGCGGATGGTGGCGGCTTCGCGGATGCTGGACGCAGACTCCTCGCTGCCGACATCAAGGCCAACGCGGTCGTTGCTCAGGACGGAAGCGGAGACTATAAGACCATAAACGAGGCTCTTAAAGCGGTCCCTCCCAAGAACAACGACACGTACGTCATCAAGATCAAGGCGGGCGTGTACAAGGAGCAGGTCATGGTTCCCAGGAAGATGAACAAGATCGTGTTCGTGGGCGATGGCCCCACGGCGACCAAGATCACGGGAAGCTTGAATTTTATAGACGGGGTGAACACATACAGGACCGCCACAGTTGGTATTAATTTTATTCAAATTCCTTTTCATCACATGCAAGAATTTAAATTAATAATTAATACGAAGGACTACCTCCCCTCTAGCCTCTATATATGAATATAATGCATTATATATTGCATGCAGCGATCCAAGGAGACGGGTTCATGGCACGAGACATTGGATTCGAGAACTCAGCTGGAGCCAATAAGCACCAAGCAGTGGCCCTCCGAGTTTCGGCCGACAACGCCATCTTCTACAACTGCCACATAGACGCGTACCAAGACACACTCTACACCCACTCCTACCGCCAGTACTACCGCGACTGCACCATCTCCGGGACCATTGACTTCATCTTTGGGGACGCCGCAGCGGTCTTCCAGAACTGCAAGATGGTGGTGCGAAAGCCCTTGGAAAACCAAGCCTGCATGGTCACTGCCCAGGGGAGGAAGGACCACCGCGGAGTGGGCGGACTTGTCCTCCAAAACTGCGAAATCATCCCGGACGCGGCCATCAAAGGGGCCAACCCGCCGGTCCAGGTGTTCCTCGGCCGCCCATGGAAGGAGTTCTCCAGAACCATTATCATGCAATCTTTCATCGACGGCTTCATTGACCCCACAGGTTGGTCTCCGTGGATGGGTACTTTTGGGCTCGACACTTGCTGGTATGCGGAGTACAATAACAGAGGCGCCGGAGCTGACACATCCAAGAGGGTCGACTGGAAGGGTTATCAGAAGCAAGTATCTCCCCAGGTGGCCAGTCAATTCACTGCCGGAGTCTACCTTCAGGGAGATGACTGGATCAAGCCCACTGGAATCCCCTACGATTCTGGGATGGTCAAGACCGCCTAATAATACATATTTATAATATGCACAGACGTACCACACTGGCCTAGCTACTCACACCTTAGGTAGCTAACTATACAGTGATATTTTCTTGCCATTGTACCAAAAAGCTGGTGTGTGTGTGTGTTTTGTTCTTTATGTTTTCTGTTACTCCCTATTATTTTATAAAGAGGGCTGGGTAGGCCGGTATACAATAGGCACGGTACCCTAAAACTGCCCTTAATTATATATATGTTCCATCTTAATTAATTAGGTCAATTCTTTCATTCTTTGTTTCAATTTCTTTAATCTCTATCTTTGAAGAACTTTTGTAATTCACTACTATATTGATGTACCTACGTAGTCTTAGATGATTGGAATGAATGGATGGAGTTGTTTGATCATGATCCAACTCCAAGCCATGAATGAATAATGACACATTATTTAATCCATCCTTTTGCTTCTATAAATATATGAGTCCTATGGTATGTTTCAAGATCTGGAACAATACATAATCGTTCTATAGTCTGAAGGGGTGTTATACGCAATTCGTAAGTTATCAAGTCTTCTTCACATATATACCATTCGTTCTAAAGGGGGTAAAATATTCTATGTTATGCATTCTATGTATAGATCAGAATGAAATAATACAAGGTTGGGGGCTTATCACCAAAATATTTTCTGTCTTACGTTTTCCATTTAATGTTTGAAGAAAAGTGTCAACATGTGATTTTGATATAAAGGCTGACTATGGTAAGTATCGAGGTAGGTCGCACATGAGTGATTCTTAGAAAGCAAAAAATTGACCTGTAACAATGAGCTGGCCTATCACCTACATGTAAGGAAAATAGAGGAGCATGGTGTGGATCAGATCGGCTAAGTGTGTGCCTTCCTGACAGAATTAATCACTTCTGAGTGTTGGGGGCACACTCTCCAGCAGTTCCACGATATATGAGACAAGAGAGAAATACCAAGCTCTTATTTTAATTGTTAGATTTTTTGTTTGAGCTCTGTAGCCATGATCGGAGAGATTGTCACCTAGATGGTGCATCAGTGAGAAGAAATGGTGTGGCATGGGTTGTCATCACAAGTAGCTAGGAGTGACAAACGCAGAAGCTTTTTGTATGACAAACGGTGCCAATGTTAGATTTATTGCTCCATTGATGGGTCCAAGACTCCAACACAACTCGTGGACAGGGCTGAGTATATATTGCTAGTAATAAAGCAATCAGAGAGGTAAGGAACAGAACAGAAATTGGGAAAATGGAACTCAATCTTTATATCGTCCAATGGCAGTAATTCTAAAAGTACAAAGGCAGAAGAAGAAAATTTTGAGATTAACCTCTAAGTTTGAGGCTCCTACAGCTCAGAGATACAACTCGCTCCAAAATCCGATCACATTCCTGGCAAGGGAAGTTGGTATAGCCTTCAAAGATCCAATAATGGTCTAGTCAAGTGTTGGGTTATCATGGGACAAGACTATGCCCTTCCCTGTGACTAGCAAAGGTCATGGGTGTTAGATTTAATGGACCGTTCACGTATAACCTTTATGGGTAATGGGTCAATGTTTGGGTCGGCTAGTATGGAGTCGGTTATTATACGGAGTCGGTTATTGTGAGTTTCATATTTAATTAGTTTTAAAAACAGACTTGGTAGTTTCTAAAAGGAGTTAAGGGTAGTCTCGAAAACATAGGTTCTAATAGTTGTGTTGGTTTGTAAAAGTTGTGTTGGCTTGTTCTCTATATATATTATAGTGAACAATAAAAAAAAATCCTGTTTTGCTTTGATCCGTTCCTGCCTATCAATGGGGATACAAAAAATGAGCCATGTGATTGCTCCCTCAGTTCCTCACCATATGCTGGAACATGAAGTGTCATTTGCTCTTTCCAACTGTGTGGCGACGTATTAGTACAGATGATCAGTATTCTGATACCTACCGCAGCATGTTTGGCCAAATCACACCTTGGAGCAATTTGGAGAGGTCCTATTCTAAGCCAACTCAGCAACTAGTACCTTTGTCTTGAGCCTCAAACTAACATCCTACCTGACTTGTCATGGTCCGACCCGAGCCTCTGACCACAGCAGCAGGCTTACGGTCTGGGCTCTCGATTCCTGTATTGCAATGGGGTTAGGCCTACGATCTGGGTCCAGACCCAGTATTTAAAAAAATAATACTCCGTATGTTTTAATAGTTCAGTGACAGTTTTGGGCCAAAACTCTATAGGGTGTAATCCTTTGTCTAAATGTGTCTTATTTTTGAAGAAAGGTGTGTGCTTCTAGATGCTTCTAATTCATCATATAATGATGTTTTTGAGCTAACTACCCTAACTCTCAATGTGCAAGAGCTAGTGAAGCTACCCATTATTATTATTATTATTATTATTATTATTATTATTATTATTATTATTACTATTATCACTATTATTGTTGTTGTTGTTGTTGTTCTTGTTATTTTATTTTTTATTATTATTATTATTATTATTATTATTATTATTATTATTATTATTATATACTCCATATTAAATACTCTGAGAATTTGATTTTAGTTTTTGAGCAGGCTAACTAATTGCATCATTGTCTGCAAACTAAAATAATTTATATTAAATTACTTCTATCTCTCTCCAATCTCAGTGGTGTGTGCATGACTGCTTGAGCAAAGAACACTCTCAGCTCGCTTAGACATGAAAAGTAACAGGGTATGCTAAACCTAAAAGGTTAAAACTCTAACATGTTAAATTGAATTTACAAATACGAAGTACAACAATACAACAATAACAACCTAGTTTGATCCCAAAAGAGTTAGGGTCTAGGGAGCGCGTGTTTTAGAGACCTTACCCCTACTTGAAAGTAGAGAGACTGTTTCCAAGAGATCCCCTGCTAGAGTAGCACATGCAAACATAATGGCACATATTGAGCATGTAAGGCATATAAAGCACAGAGCGCAAGTAGCAAAGAGAGAACTAGGGTTAATGACGGGAAAAAGCAACAAGCAGAAAGCAGAAAACACTAAGCAAAGGAGACAGACGATAAGATGAAAAACAACCACTGATAGAATTTAGGATTGGGTATGAACAACTGGATTGGGCAACAAGACACTTGGGTCGAACCACATTAAAAGATTGAATTCAATCGATTAGTTAGTTTAACTCAAGAGCTTATATACCGATTATTTTCCTCACACTTTTCCGATGTGGGATACTCTTAACACTCCCCCTCAAGTGGACAACCGGCCCATTTTGAATCTAACCGGTTGACCACTTGCAAATGAACTCCCATTCCCTTGACTTTTTTTTGAGCGCCAACACCTAAAGGACCACGAGCCGCTGGGTATGGACTTCCAAACGAGCAATTGTGTTAAACGGGCCACAGGCCGTTGGATACATACTCCACACGGACAACTGGGCTAAAGACAAACGGGCCGCTAGGAATGAACGTCTAGACGGACACCTTGACAAACGAGGTGGGCCAAAACCTGCTTTGATATCATGATAGAATTTAGGATTGGGTATGAACAACTGGATTGGGCAATAAGACACTTGGGTCGAACCACATTAAAAGATTGAATCCAATCGATTAGTTAGTTTAACTCAAGAGCTTATATACCGATTATTTTCCTCACACTTTTCCGATGTGGGATACTCTTAACAACCACCAATCCCAAAAGTCTACCCGACTACCCTAGTCCTCGCTCTCCAGATACAAAGTATAAGATATTAAGATTCCATGCCTGACTAATTCTTTAAAGAGTACTGCACATACCTTGTGCCTCTTCTTCCTCTGAGTCTTCCACTATTCTAGTTTTTGATCTCTTCGCCTTGTTAAGAGCAGCTCCATCATCGAGTTCTGGTTCTTCCTCCTCACACTCTGAGTCCTCCACACTAGCTGAAAAATGCCCTCCTCCTCTATTGTCTGCAGCCAATGATGCCTCATCTTCAGCTTCATTCTCTTCACTAGATGATGATGATTCAGTCTCAGCAACAACTGCATTATCACCATTACCATCTCTCTGCTCCATGGCAAACTGTATCTTAAAATCCCTGCAAGTGCTGCGCTTTGCATGCCTCAACAAATTCACTTTGCTTGCCTTGCTAAGCTGGATCAGGTATTTTTCGTAATCTTCAATCTGGTAGATCAAGTCAGGGATGCATCTGTTTTCCCTTTTTATCCTGTTCGCAAATCCTTTACATTTTTCACTCTCTTGTTGTTTCTATATTTGACAAGAAAAAAACAAAAACGAAAAGCCATCAACTCACACACATTCAGTAATCTCAAATAACTGCAACTCACCACTTGTCGTTTGTTTTCTACTTACCGTTTGCACATTTGCTACAAAAGTGTATAGGGGAGTTGTTAGCTGCCTGAAAGTTTCTTCCACGAGCTTTTGGAACTTCATACTAGGTAAGCGTTGCTTGCAGCCTTTAGAAGCAACGCAGAGCTTTGATATCCGGGCTAAATTTTTGTAAAACCTTGCACACATTATTAACAGCTGTTCTGCCTCATGATCTGTCATTTTTGTTTATTAAAATTAATAATAACTACACTGATGTCAAGTGATAAAATTGGGATGACTTAGCAGCATCTCAAGTACTTCACTTACCCTGGAGATTCATCAATACAAAAAAGGATGCCACCTTTACAACAGCTCCTGCTCTTGAATAAAGTGTTTCTTCCATGACCAATTCTAATGTTTTTTCACCAAATTGTTGACTAGAACAATCTCTTTTATATGAACAAGGGCGTTCCTTTAACTTGATGCTGATCCATTCAATGTCAGAGATAGCTGAATCAAGGAATTGCAGTATGATTGAGGCAATGTGGGTGCTAGTTGATTTGTTTATGATAGAATAAGCAGATGATGTCTCTTGTGGAACACTATCCTCTTTTCCAACAACATTTAAGAGCTCTTTGGCCATGTCTTGGGCAATAATCATGTCATTTGACGCTGAGCTTAAAGACAAAGCAAGGTTGGCAAAACTTTTAGCAACCCTGGGATTTGATACATTTCTTCTTTTGCAGATGCCCCTTGCCCAATTTCCAACAAAATCTCTCCGCTCCTCAGGCAGTAGTTTAGCGGCAATTAAATTTAAAATATTTGAAAGCACCTAATTATATGGATAAAAACATGGAGTAAATCAATAAATCATGTATGTGTTACAGACAGTGTAAAACCTAAAGCTTTGATGATAAGTTACTTGTCTTACCTCAACTTCAAGGAAGAAAGATTGTGCAAGTAGCTCATAAAGCATTGGCTGTATACACTTTTGAATGAATAGCTCATCACTTTTCATAACTACACCATTGGCAGGTGCATATTCATCATTTGAACCATGATCGGCACCTCTTATTAGAATATCTTCTGGGACAGGGACAGACACCAGACAATCCATTAAATCCATATATCCGGGGTGAAGAAGACTTATTTTTATCAATTCTTTCAAGCACACTAATACTGAGTGGAGGTGCTCCTTCTTTCCATTAACACCTTTCTTCCTGCAAGCATCCTTCTTGATAAATTTGTCAGAAATAGATGCTGACATAAGAAACCAAGCCATCTTCAGCAATGGGGGTCCCAATTGTTTGATATCGCCATATACCAACATCTTCATTGGGTCCTCTTTTGCCGCAGAATTGTAAGATTTCAGTTGACGCATACAAAGTTCTAAGGCAAAAGAAAAAATGTTAGCATATGGAGCTGAATCCTTTCCTGATGAAGGCTGGCTATGATTTTGAGGGGCCTCAGAGCCACCAAGCATCAATGATTCTGGAGCAGTATACAATAGCTGACAAATGGCTGGGGTTCCAAGCAAAGGAACTCTTTCCACGGACAATACAGTGCAACTTATATCAAGCCTTTCGGAGACATCATTAGCTGTAAGGCGTAGGGAGCCTCTTTTCACCCCACCACTCTGCCTAGTGGTACACACATTTTTTTGCAATGATTCATGAATCCTAACAAACTCAAGCATCTCTTTCTCTAAATCCATCTTTTTTGTATTGTTCGCTTTACCGAAGTCGGTGATGATGATATTCAGCATCACTTCAATGATCCCTGACAAAATCAATGAAGTGCCTTTGCGCTTTTCTTCTTCTAGAGGTGTAGAACTAGCATCCTTAGTTTTACCTAATAAGCCTGGTATAACATAGAAAAAAACACCAAGAATCATGACTTAATTCCTGTGAATGATGAAAGGACTTCCTTAAGAAGAGCAGACTTGAGAAGGGGCAAAATTTGAAGAAAACAATATGTGTGGCTATGCTTGTAAATCACATATGCCCTTTTAGTATAGCTAACTAGCACAGAAACTACAGAAACTATAGACCTTGATTTGGGAAAAAATCTAAAATTCTCTCCAAAAGCCACTGACTCTGCTCTCCTTCATCTTCTCAGTTCTCCCGCCATTAGGGGAACCACCACAGTGGTGTTTTGGTGGTTCCCCCATCCCCTTTGCGTACACACACCCTCCCATACCCTACTTTTGTGGGATTCTACTGGGTTGTTATTGTTGTTGTTCCATGATTTACTTTCATCGATCTCAAAACTCTTAGAAAATAGTTCATGTCCTGTTCAAAATCAGCAAATCAACGGTTGTGGCTTCTGATTCTATGTATGGTTTATGGAATGAATATAAATGATATTGATAGTGTGTCACAAAAAAATAGCAACTATAGACCTTCAAAGTCTCCCTTTCTCAGAAACTTTCGGAGCTTTGATAATGCGTTGGACAATGACTCTGCAGACCATGCTCTTCCTTCCTGCAACAATTTGGATAATAAGTGAGCATGGATGGTTGCAAATGTGTCAATACACTGATAGAGATGGTTAATTAAATATATTACTACCTCATTTTCTTGTGTCAGAGAGAAGCCAAATGAAGCCCATGAATTTGAAGAATCGCCAGTTTTACCATGTGGCTGGAGAATAAGAATCCAAGAGATGCAGGAAAGAAGGCAATCCAGTGGCTCCTCAATATAAATTTTCCCACTTTCAGATTTAACGCATTGGTAGACATTCAACTGAACATCTGCATCCTGACAACACAAAAAGACTTGCTTAAAAGTGGCCATTTAGAAAAGGGGGAGTAAATCTGGCTCATGTACTTTCAAGATAAAGTTCAATTGGTTCAATATTCCAATTTGTCAATAAGCCAAAATCATGTACATACATACTTGTACAATTCTATGCACGGTTTACGATCCAAAGAATAATGCATGGTTACCTCCTTGTAAAACTGAAAGAAGTGAGGCAAGAGAAAATCAAGAACAGGCCCAGCAGATAAAGGATCCACCAAAACAAGCTTAACCAGTCCATAGTAAAGGATCTCTCTGACTCTTGCCTAGTAGCAAAGAATTAAAATGAAAATTCAATTCTACACACTGGCGGTAAATTGGTGGTCCATGATTTTTACAGCACAACATCAAGCAAAGTATAATACCGATTATGTTGGGGTCTATGGGTCAGAGTTGATGCAGCCTTACCCCTGTAGAACACACTACAGAGAGTCTGATTTTGTTAGACCCTTAATCCATGGTTTTTATTTAATGAAACAAAAATTTAAACCTGCTGATAAAAGCATCTCTGCAGCGACCCATTAAGCTCCAAGAACAAACCAGATCCAGCTGCACATAGAACTTCAGCCTGTTGGCTACAACTAGCTTGGCTGCTTGATTCTTGTAAGGAAAATGTATCGCCTCTTTGATGTTGTTTTTCTCCCAATACCAAATCAATAATGGAACTGATTGCTGCATAACGAACTGGATCCTCTCTTCTAAACATAGCTTTACGCAAGACTAGAATGATATAATCCTGTACCATCGATAAGCTAGCATCAGTAATATATTCCTTCTATCCCATAACTAGGTTTCAATGACTCTTCTTCCTGAAAATCAGATCACCCAAATTCCAGATTGGCGTGATATTCATTTGTTGCGAAATTGACACAAAACTAACTAATTGGTACAGGAAAGTAACAAAACTATGAGTATCACTACCTGGAGATCATGACTTTGTTTGACGAGAGGCAAAAGGGCAGTAACCAAATGAGAGGACACCTTGCCATTCATGAATGTAAAATAATCCAATAATGCTTTCAGATGTGAGATATGTTCAAGCATCGGATATGAATATCTCCGGATTAGACAACCAAGCAGTCTACATTTAAAAACAAAATCAGAACACAATACCAAAAATGTAAAGACGTTAAACTACCAATCACAATCACCTTACAATCAGAAGACCTTGTTCTGGATTCAAAGAAAGAATGCGGAGTTTGCACTGCTCAATTATCTGCAACATTTCAATAAGCTTGATGATCTGGAAAGCATCTCTAATGCATTATACAATCTCGGTGAATGTGCATAGAATGAAGGAAGTACATGAAGTCATAATTTTTCCTTAATCCCCTACTACTGTGTTTCTGCTTTACCTCATTTCTGGCCATATCATGAACTTCAAATATACTTCTGAGCATAGCAGTACCTAGTTCCTCAGGACCCATGATGCCATCTAACTTGTTGAAGTCTTTATGGCTTCCTTCCTCAACACCTTCAAGCATTAAAAACCCAAGTTGTACAATGCTGGGCACCACATGCTCCCTTCCACAGTTGCTCTCATTAACCTGCTAAGAAGAAAAACAAGTGGTCTAATAATATATAATACCATATGCAGTAACAACTTCAAAATTCTTTAATTTTTTTTATGAGAATCCAGCCTTATATTTATAGGCTTGTTTGACTAGCATATGCTACAGCTTTCACCGCCATATGCTGCTACTGAACAACTCAAGTTGAGGTTCTCTTCTTCATTTTTCCAGAAGAGCATGTATACGTTACTGTTAGATACATGCCAAGGAGTGCATGTCTAGATATATGCAAGGAAAAGCAAAGATAATTTACGTTTCTAAGCAGTGCTTTCTCCATTACTCTTGCTGTCTTAAAATACTCTTCCTTTAAGTCACCTGACACCCATTTGCAAACCCTGAAATACGAAAACAGATTTATACACAACACTTTAGTGTCAATTATATAATGGAAGGACGCACTATCACAAGTGCTATCAAATTATCCAGTAGGAACTCAAATGCTCAATGATGGCATCAATGTACCATTCATCAATCTTGCATGTTTTACATGAGGTGACAATAATAGTGTTGTGGGTCCAGCCCATTTTTGTTTGGGTTCCATTTTTTTGTGGTGGTCCATGTATAGGAAAGTTTTTACTTTCCTTTGTTGACTAACAAAAGAAAGGAAGAAAAAAAGGGTTGGGCAGTGTGCGGACAGAAAAAACAGAATCGAGAGAGGGAGAAGGGCTGGTGCAGAATTTTCAGACCAGCCGCACAAATCCGATCATCGCCGGAGATCCGACCGTTGGATTGAGCTGAAATTTTCATAGATTGTTCCCAACACTTAGGGCTTCAATCTGTTTAATTTTCACATCAATCGGAGCTACGGATCTTCTGTTATCGCAGCTGGTGTAGCCAGCGTTTTTTGGGTGATATCTCTGATTTCTCTTCTCTATTGTTGATGGCTCTTATGTATGTTGTTGTTGGTGGGCTGTGACATCCTTGTAGACTGAGTTTGGGTGTTTTTACCCTCAATTTGCATAATAAGAGAAGAAGAGGGCGGACTCCCTATAAGTCCCGTGGTTTTTATCCTTCACATCGAAGGGGTTTTCCACGTATAAAAATTGTGTGTCGTTTGCATCTTTATTCTTCATATTTGATTGTAGTTTATTTGATGTGCTGCTGATTTTGTGTGCTTGGTGAATCAATTGTGGTAATTTGGGCAAGAGTGTTTGGTTGGTTGTCTTGAAATTGATCCTTGTAGGTGTATTCTACTTGTTGCTTCTCCCCCAACAAATAGTGCCCTTACTAGACAAAATGATACTAACTGTGCACAATCTAATGAGGGACAAATGTAGTACGACTTACCGAGCAAATTCAAAGTCTTTATAAGCAGCAAACAAAGCTGTTCTTAAGACTCCCATCGTGCGCTCAGTGAACCTCCGAATCCTAGCAACTGACAACAAAACTGCAACAGCAAAATGATTAAACGCACGACAATCTGATCTGACTAGCCCTGAAACTTCTTGGCCCAAAGAAGGGTCCTGCTTGACTGC